CGAAGGGACCTGCCACAAGGCACGTGGCAGGTGCCGAGCGCGCACGGTCTTAGCCAAGTTTAGACAAAACTGAGCCGGGTCTGCAGCCGGCCGAGCGTCACCCGCGGAGCTGGCAGGTCTGCACAAACGGGGCTGGGGGAGATGGACCGAGCGCTTTCTGCTGGGAAAACTAATGTGTTAGCAAGAGCTATCACTGCAAAATTGTGTTATATGTGCAAAAGATGTGAGAAATCATCAGTAAAACGCAACTGTGATGTGCCATGTGCTTGAAAACCCGTTGCGTCCGTATTGTGTGTTCCGAGACCCTTTTCATTTCAGAATAGTTTATAGATGCTGTTTCTGTCCACCTGCCTTCCTATCAAAGGCTGCATCTGTTAAAGCCCCCCCCCCCAAACTCCCATCGTGGAATTAAAAAGCAGGAAACTACAAACTACATTACCAAAAGTTGTCTTTCTACCTTTTTCTAATTGTCCATTTCTAAATCACACCCACCTCTACCAAAAGGGCCCAGTAAACAACCGTTACAATGGGCTTAGAAATCTGTAGGTAATAAATACGGCACTGAAACTTGGTTGGCAAGAATGTTGGTTTGAAAATTGAGGTTTAAAGTTAGCCGTTTCTCTTCCTTTCCCCTCCCCTGTCCAATATCTGCCTGGTTTCACTGCTGGTACTTGCAATGTCAGGAGGTGCACAGGATGCAGACACGAACCGGGGCAGCACCTCCACCCCTCTATACTGAAAACGGGCAGGCGAGCCAAAACCGTGTTGGAAGTCAGTGGAGGGAGAACTTCTCCGAGCAGAGGACTTGCTGGGCAGCCAGGCGGGTTGAGCAGAAGGAAGGCGAACGGTGAGCAAAGCGAGGGGAACGCGCGTACGGAAACGGCATCGGGGGCCGGACCCTGGGTGCCCAGGCCGGCCGGCTGTGCGAGGGCAGCGTGCCCTCTGCTGGAAAATGCAGAACTATGAACGTTTGGGTTCAGGTTTGGAGGATTTTTTGGTTTGGTTTTTTTTTTTTTTTTTTTTCCCCCCACATCATTTGAAAATAGGAGCCCATGTGATGGTGGGAAGCCCACACATAGCCAGCAACGTGACAGGGATGCAGAGCACATCCTTCAATACCGTGTTCCCTTTCAGCCCGTTTCTGGGGGACTGAATAAAAACACGTTCAAAGATATCTAATAACTTTAAGGTAGTCTAAATGGGAAATTAAATGAACCAGAAATATAAGAGATGTAATTTTGACAGCAAAATCTGATTAACAGCTACTTACAGTATTGCTAGACTTTAACTTGGTAGATGAAAGGGTCTGTCTTTTGTTTTAGATTCAATTAGTACCCAGTATAATGACTTCCCAACGGAAACCATAGACATTATCACTATAGAAACAACTAAACATGTGTTTGGTTTGTGGATACGTACTCCAAAGCCACCATGTTAAGGGTGCTTATAAATAACAAACGTTCCATTATTTACAGCAGGAAGAGCCTTCTAACTCAACTACAGTTGATAATTAGCCATCCAAACTTACACCCTAGGGCATAAGCCTTCAGGGTAACTTGGCTGTTTTAGCATTTTACCTGAAATTTATAGATGAAAGATTGTTTAAGTTTAGCAGACTAAACAAAAAATAAACAGAATGAACAATGACTAATCTACATGCTTTCAAAAGGAATAATTTGATTTTCAGTTGTGCTGCATGTACACAACTAAATGAATCAGTGTTTAAGGCTATTTAATAAAAACAAAGTTGAAGTAGCCCAGAAGGAAAAATTTGGAAAGTGTTTGAAGTTGTTCCTCCCCCCCCCCCAAACAGGCCTCAACAAGCAGTGTGTTCACACAGCAAAACTTGTCTTTCAAAAAGAGGTTTCTAACTGCACTTACATATATATAAATATATATATATAAATTCACTATAGTAATATATATATATTTTTTAAAATCACTATGCTATGTGATTTATAGTATTACAAAGTTATCAAAGGCACTTCAGAATTTCAGGAAAATAACTTTATGAAAATACTTGTTATTAAAGCTTATTCTGGTCTTTAGGGCTTCAAAACTCTGAAAATACACCATGCATGACTGAACTAGATTTGGCTGGATTGAAAACCCAGGAAAAATAATTTTTTTTTTTTTTTTATTGTACCAGAGTACCAGCTAGCCCCTGCAGATCTGGCCAGGAGGAGTCCTTGGGTCTTCTCTCGAGAAATGATTGTTGAGTAAACACAAGCAGGCCATGCCCCGCCAGCTGGCGCTGCACCAGCGCCCAGCAGAGCGCCGGAGTCACGACGCGCGTCGGGCAGTCGCCTCTTCCTTTCCAGACACCCCTGTGGTGTTCTCACAACACGCCGACATCACTGAGGCACGTTCAGTTCATAAACAGCCCTGCTCCCCAAACTGCCTTCTGCAGAACTTCCCCCAGCCACCTATCCTTCGTGAAACTTTGCGGCTGCTTAGTCCCACCTCAGAACTCTGCAATTTTCTGTACTGAACTGCATCTTTCTTGAAAACCAAAGTGACCCAGAATAGACACCTTCAAACTCCTTCCCTTTGCTGGATGTTCTTCATCTTTTTACGAGGTTCAGCACTGCCCCTCCACCAGCAGCACCAGCAGAAGGGTCCTACAAAAGACTGACGTGAAAAACACACTTTGGATTCCCCAACCTCACCAACTGATGGGTTGCACTGTCTGTCGTTCAACTAGCAATACAGCCCAAATGCAAAACTAAGATTTTTTTTGTTGTTTTTAATTAAGAAAGATTAATTTTCAATTTGCATAAAATTAACACAGAAGATTTGCAAAAGTTTTAAAAAAATAAAAGAAACAATATGTGCGTGACCTCTCTTAAAAGACCCTCTTCCACGCTCAGTTTATAGGAGATAATCCAGTCTGTAGCAGTATTTTATATATCCCTGAGTTTTTCAGTCCATTTAAAACACTTGGCTGATTAAAAAACCCAGCAAATAGTTAAAAAGGTTCAAAAGTAAGTTTCTAGAGCTAGAGTCAGAAATACTACTTTAGACTACAGGAACATAAATGCTCCTCGTGATTGTCTTATGAAATCCCTCAAATTTCTCCATTTTTGTCCTTAATTTCCATCTTTGACTTTTGTTTCACCTTTATATAACCTTTAGCCTCTTAATTCCATCTTTCTTTGATTTGGATTCTGCCTATGATGAACAAGAAATGTAAATATCTCCTTCACTCCTCATGCCTTTTCTTCTTTCGGTTCCCGTCCAGGCACAGCTCCATAGCTGTACCATACGAACCTCCTCCAAAGCAGATTTACACAAGCACGACTTTTAAACGTGTCCCTTCCAGTTCACCTACTGCTGCAGTTTCTTGCTAGTATGAGTTACGCCTTGTTTCTGTACAAGGCAGCCACATTCACTGCTGCTAAATTCCCTTCTACGGGCTCCTGGACCAATTGTTTTTACGTATCAATGTTTTCATCAGATAAGACATTAAAATCTAGACTCTTTCAAGGTTCTCAACTATCATTATTTTCTCTCAAACATTCTTTCCTTTTGTTCTGTAAAAACCATTTCCCAGTACCTCCCCTCCTTCCACGTCTGTGCTTTGTTTAGTGTCGTATGTGCAATTCCCTCTTCTCCTTCCACCTGAAGAGTAGGGAGGAAGCAGTTCCAGAGCCACCACCTGGTCCTGATGGCAGATGATTTGAATTCTTGATCTCCAAAGCGAGGTGGCTGCACCAGGTTGCTAGTAGGCATGGTTCCTCGTCTGTGTCGACTCCTAAACCTCACCTTAGGAGCTGCTTGGCAGAGTTTGGTCCACACTAAAGCGAGGGATTGTTCTGACAGTCCTGCAGTTCAGATCACGCAACAACCCGTGCTGTTTCATTTACCAGAAGACTGATAGTCTGACTATCCTCCTTTTCCATTTATATAACTTCCCACTCCTACAGATCACATTATATCTTAAAACCAAGTTATTCTGTACAGCCTAGTAAGGCTCCAATGCCTCAAAAGTTAACACTGGAACAAAACAAACGCAGAGTCGGAGATGCCAGTGCCAGGATGGGGCACAGCCCGTCTCACCGGGCTCACCGCAAACACGGGTCAGAGACTCCAGAAGGAAATATCTCCATTAAAGTTAGAGCTACTATTTAGATATGCCTTTGTGTTGAAAAATCCAGACTGGATTTATATGTATTAAGGGAATAATAACCTACAAATAGTTCACATCAAACGTTCCAGAAGTTTATTACCCACATAGTTAAAAACAGGACAATATTTAAGACCCAATTTTCCTATCTTTGCCTTCCAACTACTGAATGGCATGAAGCCCCAATTTTCTAAATTAAACACTAGTACTATAATGACTCTTCCCCATGAAGATAATTTACTAATTATAATCCAATCATCATTTGAACTTCTCTTTGAATAATCAAAAGGTTGGGTTTAATCTTTTGCCATAAAATAGGTTTTTTATATCTAAAATTGCCTATTATTTTCTGAGATGTAATTATATAGTCATCTAACTGGATGTTATTTCTCATACTATTTCTTTAAGGCTTTTCAGTTAAGAACTTTCAATGCGTATATTTACATTGTCAGGACAACGACAATACTAAATTCTTCTCTTAAAGAAATACTATCTTTAAAGATGCCACTTGGATAAAATTCATTTTTAAGCACAGCATTCATGCTAACCCCTTTAACCTTTCTGGGGAGTCTTTTTAGGCTAGGAGAAAACATAGGAAAAGTAGGACTGATGTGAAAAGAAGAAAACACACATGTTAAGGCCTTGAGAAGGACGGTACTGTCCTGTGTGCTTTAAACAGCACAGAATACAATGAAAACCATCAAGAAATAAACATCACTTCTAATAAAAACAGTACAGTTTACCTATTTATATGCTTTTGCTATTTGAAAACCTTTAAAAGTCCTACTGTGCAGTTCTACTATAAACACTTTAACTTTCAGAATAAATTAGTACAGAGGTGGCTGTTTCAGCACGACAAACAAAGGTGAGTTACCCAAGAGGAATGCTCCTTCATCTGATGCTGGTTGCTATGAGGACCATTTGCATGGCCACGCCAAAAACAGTTTTGACAGAGCTGGTAGTTGTGGCACTGCTGGCATCGGTACCGGAAACCCATCATGCTTTCACACCGGCAATACGAACATTCCACGGGATGGAAGACTTGGTGGAGATGGGGAAGGAAGGGAGGGGAAAAAAAAAAAAAAAAAAAAGTAATAAGTGACCTTTAGGAAAACCTTGACCATCAAATTTCATTGGAGCTTCCAAAACCCCCCCCGGTCTTAACCACTAAACCAACTTGTTATTCTGGGCAGGTCACGGACTGGGGGTGCAGAGCAGGTGATTTTTGTAAGATGAACTGCAAATTAAAGTTGACCATAACATAGCAGTTCCATCTGACAAGCTCAATATTTCTTCTTCGGATCTGTCCCTCCTCGGACACACTCAGACCCAGAAGTCTCCGTGGAAGTCCAATACCACTGAGAATGCACACGAGCGGGCAGGGAAAGCAGAAGGGCTCTATTCACAACGGTGAATTTCTGCCTAAGGAGATCACTGTGCCCTAGAGTCAGCTGAGAGCACTTTTCACAGGAGAGGCAAATTCAGAGCCCCGCGAGGGGCTGCTGCTCTGAAGCCCCTCACCAAGGAGCTTCCCAGGCTCCTCCCCAGCTGTGAGCTGCCTCTTGTACCTCTGTAGCTTCAACTGAAGAAATCCCCAACATACCTCTAAATCTTAACATCTCGAGAACTGCAAAATTAAATTAGGTATATGACATACAGAGTTAACATCAGAAGCAGGCTAAAAAACCATAAATAAATGCTTCTTCCCTGTCCTACTCATGAACAATCAATCACAGACTTGCTCAATTTAAGAGAGAGGTCTTCAGAAAAAAACAAAAGAAGGATGTGAGAATGAGGTAAAGGAGAGACCTTATGTCAAATGCATCTTAAAAGGTGAGGCACAGGAAACAGAATAGAAGGCTGAAGGTCAAGGTGAATTACAGGAGCAAATGGTTTAGCATTGCTGTGGGTCTAGGGACTAGCTAATTACAGACATGTATAAATAACTGTGCTACAGTGAAGGCCACCGAAGACAAGAGCAGCTCACTGGTCAGTCACCTGAAATTCTAAGATACGTCTATTATCAACTACTGAAAGATGTAAGAGGAATAATTAGAAAGAGTCTGAAGTTTTGATCTGTGATAAAAATTATGACTTAGCTGTTCTATCTGAGACTTGGTGCAATACTGCACAGGGCAGTAGAGTTAATGTCGACAGATACCGCTTCTGCGGGAAGGTCTGGCCAGTTACACGGTGCCAAAGTGCCTGCTACCTCGGTTAGTGGGTGCGTGTGCCAAAACTGTTGAAAACACACAGGGGTAACAACTAAAGCAACGACCACTTGAGCATTAACCTGATCAGGAATGCCATGGATAATTAAGCCAAGATGATCAGGTGGATGACGCTTGATTGTAGCACGCTGCAACACTGGGTAAAGCAAAGGACTTGATCCTGCTAGGTAATCTCAACATACAAATGCCCATTGGGAATGGGCTGCAGAGGGGCTGGTGACTTTTTTCTTTATATAGAAGAGGTAGAGATAGCAATGAAAAGGAAGACTTCTGGATTTGTATCAAACAGTGAAAAGAACTGGTTGAAAAAATGACAAGTGACCTTAAGTTAACATGCCAACAGAGTTATTTTGTGAATTTTAGGAAGTGGAGGGGAGAAAACATGACTTCAGTGCAGCAGATTTCAGTAAACTCATGAGAATTAGCAGGTAAGCTACAAGAAGAAACAATTCAAGAGGAAAATGGGTTAGGAGAGTTGTCAGTTCCTTAAAAAAGTTATGCTAAAGAAACAAACATAAACTATCTCAGTGCAGAGAAAAGAGGAGACTGCAGTAAAAAAACAATGTGGCTAAAATTTAAGAGATCCCCAAAAACCGGAATTCAAAAGGAAGTTTACAAAAGTGAAAACTGGGACAAATTACTAAAGAGGGTTAAAATATTCAGAGACAAAGTTAGAAAAACAGAATGAGAAAAAACTAGCAGAGGATTTAAAAGGGACATTACAAGAATTGTAATTATGATCCTTAAGAGGGTGTGAAATGATACATATCTAACTATTGACTTCTCATGTTATTTTAACTTGTAAAATACATATTGGAACAAATAATAAAGCAAAGTACTGTAAGCCCCTGAAGACCAACAGAGAAATAAGCCTTGGACAACATCTGCCAAATCAACCTAATGTTTCCCCATGACAGAGTAATTGACCTTGAAAATAGAAAACAGGCATCAAATGTCATCAGTTTTTCATTTTACCTCAGCAATTCTTACAAAATTGGTCTCCCATGATATTCTTGTGACAGAGGGAAATACACATACATAGATGAAAGGACTGTAACTTGGACGTGAATCTCACTGGAAAAAGACCAGAGAGCAGTTAACTGTCATAACGCAAAGATCTAAGGAGCAAAGGGCTTTAGTCTAGGACACACACTGGTCAATATTTTTCATAAATATACAGAATGCTCCCCAAAAATGTCCAGTTTGGGACATGGCATTTCAAGGAAGGTGGGGGTTAATTATGTGTACAGGAGAAATCAATGGAATTGTCTGAACAACATCTAGTAGACAGCTAGGAGCAGACTGTGAGAAGGTACCATCAGACATGCAAGAGGTACTTACAAAACCAGCAATACATTCTCCGGAGCCAGTGGCCAAAAAAAGGCTACTTAAGGGTTTAAACTGCAATAGAACATCAGGGAAAAAAAAACTTTCTCACCCTAAGAGTATTTAAACACTGATCTCGCCCCAGCTTCAGGCCCAAAGAGGTGCCGAAACTTTTTGACAGAGGATTTTGAGAAGCAGCGAGGCAGATCTTGCAGGCACGCTTACCAGACGTGCGAGTTTGCCTTTGGAAAGAGCGGTGGGGGAAGTCACAGGCTCCCAAAGCTTTTCTGCCCTTCCGCCCGCGGCTGAGCCCGCGCACCGGGCCGCTGCCCTGCTGAAAGCCAAGGTACCGGCACCAGCTGGTCTCCAGCTCCGCGCACCGCTTCACCTTGTCTCCTCTTCCCCCACCTTCTCAAAAAGGTCTCTTATCTCCTCTGACTCCATGCCTTTAGAAGGGATTGCTACTGATGAAAAGGGGACAAAAGTACTACAGTGTCCTGAACCGAAGAATCAAAAACTTGAAATTGATACGCTTGATTTAGGAAAGCATTAACAACATGCTGATCAAATTAAACATGAGGCAAAATAATAATGGTGACAGCACTCCATGTGCTGCAAAAAGCACGCTCTCAAAGTGATTACTAAAGAGAAGGTTGGAACAATCAGTATCAGAGATTATTAAATCACGGGCAAGGTATCTGGCCATCAAGGTAGAAACCAAAGAGGTGCACTTCTTGGTTGGTTTGTGGGGTTTTTGGTGTTTTTTTTTTGTTAGGTTGTCTTCCTTCTTTTTCTGAAAGTGCCAAAGTTTAGCTCTGGACAGGAAACAAATCACTGAAGTGGAACAGCATGCTTCCTCCCAGCACCAACCTGCTGTCTTCTTCCCCAGCAGGTGCTAGGTCATGAACAAATGTAGGTATTACTCTTTTCCCATTTTTTTAAATTAATTTTTCAGTGCCACGGAATACCAGATTGCAAACTTTATTTCTCTTCTGTCAGATCGCTTTCCATGCTCCCATCTGAATAAATCTAGGTGGACTGAAGTTGCCCTGAAGCAGTCAATGGAAAATGGTTTCCCCATCACTGACGTGCCCAACTCCAAGTCACACCTGAGCCACCACAATCCCTCCTGCCTACGGACCGCAGGAGCTCACCTCACGGACCGCAGGAGCTCACCTCACGTCCCCGTCCATTCTTCCTCTCTCCTTCCTACTCTTCCTTTCCTGCCTCTGAAGTACTTGTTCTAATCAAAATACTCATGCTTTGTTTTCTCTGCCTCCGTGATTGGAACATTTGGAACATTTCCTCTCTTTTGAAGGTGTCCCTTTACCCAAGGCTCCCTGCCACATATGGGAGTGGGAGTTTTAAGCTTCTTTCCACTTTTCACTGCATCCAAGTCTTTGGTCATTCCTTTTTCTGGCTGCCAGACTCGAACTTCCTACTGGGTCTTTCCTGAGAAAGACAACCTGCTCCTTCCTCCCTTCCCTCCTGACGTCAGACCAGCTCCCTGTGGAAAGTGCAGGAGCTATAGAGATTGGACCAGGAACCCAATTCTCCTGTCTGGCTTTTCCTCCTTTTTCTGACTCCTGATCACACACCTGTGTTCGGCAAGTTTTTGCTTTCCCTTCTTTTTCTTCACCTGCTACTGCCAGTGACTGTCATTGTATTGCAACTCCCTCCCAAGTGCTCTGCCCTGCACTGTGGGACACGTCCTTCCACTCCCCACCCATCGGACCCACCTCAGCATCACCAGCTCTGCTCAGGCTCCTGCACTGCAGAGTATCCCCGAAATCAATCTCGTCACAGAACCAACCTCACCTATAAACGCTGTGTCCTCTTCTTTCAACTATGCCAGCCACCAAAATTCTTCTGTAAGTAATCTTTAACTTTCCACCAAAGCCTTAACGGTATTACTGCCATCAGTATTCAAATCTTCAATCACCAATATTTAGGTCACTATTCAAATCTCCTCTTTTTACTCTCATTTCTTCTCTGATCAGGACATGTGAAATTCTTCCAAATGGAAACTGGAACAATGTGATGTGACCTTTCTCCTCTTCTTCCCTCCTCTATCACACAGATACTTCTCATTTGCTCTCTTCCATAAATCCCTAATTTATGCAAAGACCTTCTTGTGCCATCTTGTGATTTACCTCAGACTCCTTATAGCTATTCCTTCTATATTAGTATTTGCTTCGGTCTGTTCCCTTTGCTGTCCAACATCAAAATATACACACAATTTAGGTTTTCACATTACAAAGGACAAAAATGTAGGTATCCAAATGTAGGTATCTTTACTCCATGACCAATCTTTGAGCTGCGAACCCCAAATCCGATCTTCCTCCTTGTCCTGAAACCTCCATATACTGCCCTGGCTCTATATATTCATCTTTTATCTTATACTTTGACTGATGATACCAAAAAACAGTCTTTTCCCTGTCTGGACAATGCCTTTCCCCTGGGGGCATATGATTAGGGCTTCCA